CGGAAGTTTTCCCCTGGGAGAGCCGTGCTCCTAGAGAGACATCCTGTTGACTTTGAGTCATTTCTGAGACGATGTGTCAGCTCATGTTTTTTGAGAATTTGCTAATGACATGGTATCTCTATTAAACAGGTCTATAGAAAGGTAAAAATAGGTTGAGCATCTTCTAAATAGCTCTGGCTCACAGCAAAGTGGTGAAAGAGTAGTCAGTTTGTTTTAAGGCAGAATAAAGCTACTCTTCATCACCCCCAGCCACGCTGGTAATTCATCCCAGGACAAACAAGACATCTCCCAGCTAAAGAAAAGGAAAACCCTGTTCTTGACTAGATGGCTTCAGAAATATGCTCGGATTGGAGAGTTCCAACTTTTCCGGGACCGATTCTTACAGAGTCTAACCCTTGTGGTTTTTCGGTAGGAGGTAATTTCTGGGCTGGTTATGATTTGAAGGCGCTGGCCCACAGCTCAACCTTGCTTAAATTAGAACAAGATGTCACCAGTGGTCTTGCTTCCACAGTAGACACTTGAAAATAGACTCTCGTCGGACAGACGGGGTCAGGCCATTCCGTGGGACTCCTGTTAGTTTCTATGACTAGAAATGACATCAGCCTTCTGTCACTGCGTTTCAAGTGCCTTGTATCGTGGAGGAAGTGTGAGTTGTTGTGGGTGGGTTTTTTTTGTTTTGTTTTGCTTTTTTAAAGCAATGAAGGCAAGGGCAAAGAATTTTTCATAAAAACAAGTGACAAATTTCACTCAAGTTACTGACACATAAAAGGAAAAAATTAGTTTCTGCTTTGAAGCTAACCAGAAACAAATGGGACTGGTTCTCCAAAGGAAAAGTTGGAGTTTAGTCATGATACATCTCCTCCCAGAAATCTAGGAAATTATACATACTGTACCCTCTGTTTATAAGAATATGAATAACATGATTGTGTGCACAGGGTCAAGTGCAGTTCAGATGAGAATTTACTGCTGCCAAGTAGCAACAGCATAAAGGCAGAGGGAGCCGCCATTAACCCCTTATTCACATGATCCAAATGTTTTCCTTTTACGAAATACTTAGATTGAAAGCTCCTTGAAGCCAGGAAGTACATCTTCGATGTCTTTTCGATGTCTCCTCACATCCAGCTCGGGACACGGGGGGGTGGGCACACTGTAGGTATTCCAGGGAATGATCCAGGAGAGAAGCAGTGTTTGCTTTTTTCATGGAGAGATGGGAATGGTTTTATCTGAGCTGTATTGTTCTGAGTCCTCTGCGGGCTGAGCAGTTGAGGGCTACAAGAACCATGAACTTTGTTTTTAATATATATTCTTTTCCATTATGGTTTATCCCAGGAGATTGGATATAGTTCCCTGTGCTGTACAGTAGACATTGTTGTTTATCCGTTCTAAATGTAATAGTTTGCATCTACTAACCCCAAACTAAAAAAAAATAATAATAATGTCTGTATGCGTATAGCTGAGTCACTTTGCTGTACAGCAGAAATTAGCACAACATTGTAAGTCAACTATACTTCAACTAAAAAAACCATAAAAAAAAGAACCATGAACTCGCTCTTAAGTGCAGCCACTTCCTTCCACGTCTCCCGATAGGACAGTCCCCATGACTGCAACTGCTGTGTGCCTGGCTCTGTGCTGAGTGGGTCCCAGGCCTCCTACCCATTGACCATCCCAGCCACCCAAGAGTGGGCACCGTCTTCACTTTGGAGATGAGGAAACGGTGGCCCAGACCGGCTAAGCAGCTTGCCTGAGATCACGTAGAAAGGGACATGACCAGAACTTGCACTCAGGCTGGTCTGAGTCCAAAGGCCACCTCACCGTGCTGCCCTCCGCGATGCTCCCAAAGGGGTCATGCTTTGTTCCCAAAGCCAAGTAACGTGAAACACCGTGTAGTCACAGTTGGAGAGCTTGGGAGTAGAATCAGGCCAGCTGAGGGGTGGTGGGGATCTCGGGTAAACCCCAGCCTGTCACCCACTCCCTGGAGGGCTCTATTTCAAACAAGATTATCCTGGGCAGCCCTCAGAGGCAGGGCCACCAAGATCACCAGAGCCAGGAAAAGATGTGGGCAGAAGGAAGAAGCTGAAGGGGAGCGGGTGGAAGGCTGGGGCCGGAGCAGCCCCGGGGTGTGGGGGGGTGGCGTGTGGGGGCAGGGAGGTGGTGTTGAACTCCAGCCCCGGCCGGCCCTTGGGCCTCTGCAGGGGGAGGAGGGTGGGACCAGTTCAGGGAGGACCATCTATAGGCATCTCAGGCCCTTTTACAGCACCAGCCGATGGTGCCACTTCTTTCTCCTCTAGTTTAAGGCCCCTCTGAGTCACGCGGGGCCATTCCAGCCACCTGCAGTCCCCAAGCTGGGGTGGGGAGGAAACGCAGTGTGGGCAGTGGAATAAGCTGCATTTGGAGTTGGACGAATCCTGCTGTGATTTGGACCAGCTGTGGGCAGATTACTTACCAGCTCTGCATCCTCCTTGGGGGTAACCATGCCCACCTTACAGAACTCAAATCAAAATGGGTCCAAGCGTGTGAGGCGTTTAGAGTCATGTCTGCCACCTGAGAAATGTCTGAGGACTGTTATTGCCTGTTCTAGACTCACCCGTGCCCCGCCCCCCAGTTAGGGGGCTGCCCCTTGTGTGATCCTCCTGGGTCAGCCTGAGATGGGGCGCGCCTGCCTTGAGACCGGAGCCCTGGGCAGGAGGGAGTTTTCCTGCCCTTCTCCTGTGTTTCTAACTGGGATCCTAGTTTGAGGACGGGTGGTAATAAATTATTGGCAGCAGGAACGGCAATGGTCTGGAGCACAGTCACTGAGGACCAAGTCTGTGCCAGAAACTGCACTCGGGACAGAGCAATGGCACATACGGCCCCTGCCCTTAGGGACCTTACAATCCATCCGAAGAGAAAGGCACATTAGATAGTAAGTTAAGTACCCACATATGTGAGGTGCTGTGGTAGTGGGATGCACAGAATGCTCTGAAGGGCAGGACACTGAGCAAAACCTGGAGGCCAAGCACCTTCCCCAGGAAGGTGCTGCCTCGGTTGAGTCTTAAGAATGGAGTAGGGGCTTCCCCGGTGGCGCAGTGGTTGAGAGTCCGCCTGCCGATGCAGGGGACGCGGGTTCGTGCCCCGGTCCGGGAGGATCCCACATGCCGCGGAGCAGCTGGGCCCGCGAGCCATGGCCGCTGAGCCTGCGCGTCCGGAGCCTGTGCTCCGCAACGGGAGAGGCCACAACAGTGAGAGGCCCGTGTACCGCAAAAAAAAAAAAAAAAAATGGAGTAGAAGTTAAACACGCACCCCAGTGTTTATAGCAGCACTGTTTACAATAGCCAAGACATGAAAGCAGCCTAAGTGTTTATCAACAGATGAATGGATAAAGAAGATGTGGTACAAATATATATGTACACAACAGAGCACTACTCAGCCATGAGAAAGGATGAATTAATGCCACACCTGCAGCAACATGGACGGACCTGGAGATTATCATACCAAGTGAAGTCAGACAGAGACAAATGTCATATGATATCGCTTACATGTGGAATCTAAAAAAACATGATACAAATGAACTTCTTTACAAAACAGAAACAGAGTCACAGGCAAAGAAAACAAATTTATGGTTACCAAAGGGGAAAGGAGCGGGAGGGAGAAATTTGGAGTTTGGGATTAACAGATACACACTACTATATATAAAACAGGTAAACAACAAGGACCTACTGTAGAGCACAGGGAATTATAGCCAATATCTGGTAATAACCTATAACAGAAAAGAATCTGAAAAGGAATAGATAGATGTATATATATATGTGTGTGTGTGTGTGTGTGTGTGTGTATATATATATATGTACACACACACACATATGTGTGTGTAACTGGATCACTCTGCTGTACACCTGAAACTAACGTAATATTGTAAATCAACTATACTTCAGTTTTTAAAAAATGAGTAGAACTTAGCCCGTGTAGTGACCTCGTACTGGTCCACTTGGCTAAGCTGGAACTGCTCTCCCCAGAATCTCCTTTCCTGCAGGGTCCTGGGTTATGACCGACCACAGGAGACCCTTGCGGGGGGTCTGGAAGGTGGGAGAGGAGCCGCAGCCATGTTTGTGTCCAGACGTCGACGCAGGGCCAGCTGCAGCTCACCTGCGGTCGCAGGTCTGTGGACTTACCTTGTGGGGATGAGGCGGCAGCCAGGCTTGCAGGGACTTCCATTGCCACTGGCCTGCCTCCTTCAGCCCCTCTGACCCCTGGACTGGGGCTGTGTTCAGCTCTGTGAAGAAGGGCACCAGCTTCCCCGACGGCATCACCGTGCCATTGACGTGAGAGGCCAGCCTGGGCCCCCCCCCTCAGCTTTCTGGGCTCCCAGGGAAGCCACACTGCACCCCACCTTTCCTTCCCACCTGCCCGCCCTGCGGACTTCAGCCTCGGCACCGAATGCAGAAACAGCCGTGAGGACACCATTTAACAGGCTCCCGCTGGTTGTTTGTGGGACTAACCCCTGTTCTATGTCACTCCCGTGGTTCTGTTTCTCCTGTGGAAACTTGACGGGTAAGTAGTTAAAGATGTCTGGGAAAATGGTCCCGGCAGGAGGAAAAGAAGGAGCAGTGTCGTGAAACGGCAGAGGCTGTGCAAGGAGCACAGGTGGCTTGGTTATTTCCAGAAATAAGAAGGAAAACAAGGAGAAGATGAGACTAGAAAAGGAGGAAATGGTCAGGCCATGGGAGGGACTCGAATGCCACGCCGGAAGTTTGGCCAATACAGGAAACAGCTGAATGTTTACACGTGTGGAAAACAGGCTTGGAGCAGTTTACATAATCCATCACGCTATTTCTTGTTCTCTGAATAGCGTTCCACAGGACAAATCTTCTTTAGTATACGCTACTTGCTTTAAGAAATGCTGTTTTTTATTGTCAGAGCGCAAGACTTAGGTAACGTATTCTATGGGGCTAGGGTAGGTCATGATGTCTAATAAGTAAACCGCGGATGTCAGTGGCTTTACATCACAAAGGATTTTTATTGCTCACATCATGCTGGTCAGATGGCTTTCTTGGGTGGCTCCTTATCAAGCCGTGTCCCAGGGTTCCAGGATCCTTTGATCTTGTGACACTGCAATCTTAAATGTGGAGTCTGTGAGACTGCCAGAAGAGGGGACAAGATGGTGGCCAGTCCTGCTGGGGGGTGAGGGCAGGTGGGTCATCACCGGGCATGAACTTCCGACAGCTCACCCAACTGCTAGGAGGCTGGGAGACATGGGCCAGGAGGAGGAAAATGAAACAAGATCTGGTAAGTGCATGGCATTGTGTCTGCTGCCCTTATCAGCTTGGGAGCGCTTTTATTTATGTGAGCATTTTTTTCCCATTGCACGGTTCAGATTTTCTACTCTTATTTCCATGCTTTTGTATATTCACAGACAAGAAAAATTAACTCTGATTTTCACATCACAACTGAATGCTGTTATCTGAGCCCTTAAAACGACACTTCTACTTTTATCTAGATGAGCTGGCCCTCTCTTAATAAACAACCTTTGTATGGGACCAGGTATAGAAGGGACTCTCTCTCGAACACGTTTTCTTTGTTCTCTGGAATGATCACCTGGGTACCAGGGATTGTTTGGGTTAGAGAATATCAGCTAAGAAAAATGTAGAGTGGGGCTTCCCTGGTGGCGCAGTGGTTAAGAATCCGCCTGCCAATGCAGAGCACACGGGTTCGAGCCCTGGTCGGGGAAGATCCCACATGCCGCGGAGCAACTAAGCCCGTGCGCCACAACTACTGAGCCTGCGCTCTAGAGCCCGCAAGCCACAACTACTGAGCCCGCACACCTACAGCCGGTGCTCCGCAGCAAGAGAAGCCACCGCAATGAGAAGCCCACGCACCGCAGCGAAGAGTAGCCTCCGCTCGACGCGACTAGAGAAAGCCCGCGCGCAGCAACGAAGACCCAACACAGCCAAAAATAATTAAAAAAAAAAAGAAGTAGAGTGATAGTTTTTGATGATTATGTAAATGTGGAGAAAAAATAAGTTATTGGGATCCAAGAACATAATCACTCTTCCCATTTCTGTTCATCACCGGAGGGAGGATATCACTGGTATTTTGATATACAGTTTTGAAAGTATTTTCCTATAGACACAGTGTTACAAATGGTGATGAGGTGTACCCCAAAGAGAACCACCAGTTGTATACTTTACAGGCATATGATGGATTAAGTAGGTGAAATCGAACCATTTTTACATTAATTGTTGCAATTGCTGTATTACAATTCCAGACAAAGGACTTACACTTTTGAAAAAGGGCCTATTCTTTCCAATATTTAAGTGGTCCCAATTGTAAAATTTTCATGGCATAATGTCTTTAACACCAAAATGATAAAGTACTTGGAAAACTAGAAGATACTGTACAAAATATCATAATGTTTTAATTTTCTTGTAGAAAACCTCAGACTGAACACGTGACAGTGCAATGGTTAATTTTATGTGTCAACTTGGCTAGGCCATGGTACCCAGATGTTTGGTCAAACACCAGTCCAGATGTTGTGGTGAAGGTATTTTTCAGATGAGTTCACCATTTAAATCAGTAGACTCTGAATAAAGCAGATACCCGCCATCATGTGGGTGGGCCTCATCCAATCAGTTGAAGGCCTTAGAAGAAAAGGACTGTGATCCCCTGAGGAAAAAGGAATTATGCCTCCAGAGACCATCAGACTCAAGCTGCCCCACAGTTCTTCCCTGGGTCTCCAGCCTGCTGACCTGCCCTGCAAATATCAGACTTACCAGCCCCCAGAGTTGCATGAGCCAATTCCTTAAAATAAATCTGTGTGTGTGTGTGTGTGCGTGTGTGTGTGTGTGTGTGTGTGTGTGTGTGTACACATACCCCATGGGTTCTGTTTCTCTGGAGAACGCTGACTAATAGAGATATATTTTCTGGGCAAAGGAAAACAGACAGTATTTACTAATTTGCATCTAAAATATTTGGGATTATACACCCACAGAATGTTCTTTGAGAGACACTAACCCAGTTGATGAAGGAATCTGATGTTTCTTGTTGATTTATCTGTGGCCATCCTCAGACTTCTCCTATTTTCTGTAAATCCTTTACAGCAGGTCCCACATCTGCATTCTCTGCTTGAGGGCAGAGCAGCCAAAACACTCTTAGTCAGGAGAACCCGTAATCCAGTGATAAAACCAAGACGGTTCACCCTTAAATCTGCAGGGAGGATTTTCATACTTCGTGCAAACTCTTCTTTCAACTCTGATAAGGAATTACATTCGTGTTAGGTATACATGAGATACATTCCCGAAACAAAGGAAACTGGCACTAACTACTGTTAAATAGCATTTAGGACACAAGCCAATGGAAGAAATGAAAATTTAAAATATGACGGAGACTCCTCTGACCTACCCCTCTCTGCCCAGGCTTGGCTGGAGTTCTGACGCTCTGTGTGATGTTCCGTGCTTGCAAAATGGTTGGGTATTTGAACCAGAAGGCTCATGCAAAGAATAAAATGTCAGCTTTATGAAGGTGATTTGTATTGCATGAGGTATTAGCTCCTAAACAATGTGCACAGAAGGAAAGAGGTTCTGTAAAGAAGTAAGGCTGCTTAGGGAGCAGACCTGGTGACATGTCTAAAAGCATTCATGTCTGTCGAAGGAATTAAAATGAAACAGAAGTGAGAAGCCGTAAAGAAGTGCATGTAACAGAGGCTAATTTCCATGTCTTATCTCGGATACATCTTAGGAAGCATCCATTCTTTTCTGTGTTACGTTAGAAGACAGTGAGTTTGAAAAGATTAAAAAGGAAAGGGAAGATTAAAATGCCCAGGGGGGGCGGCGGAGAAGAAGGACCAAATTAGGACTTAAACTCGTTCAAATCATTGTACGTACCCTCTTTTTCTTTCCTTCCTTTGGAATCTTGGGAAGTGGTGTGTATCTCCTAGATTAAAATGACCCATCAGAAACCTCGTAATGTCAGAAATGTGAGCCTTATGTAACGTCCGCATTAAAGACACAGGCTACAGTGAATGCAGTCGCAGCCAGGAGTGATACTCGAGTAGATAAACAGGAAAGGGGACTGCGGTATCGGCGTGGACTTAAAACGAAGGCTTGTCTTTGGGAAGGCACAGATGAGAACAGATGCGGAAACAGAAGAGAAATTTGCATGTACAGAGGAACTATGATAAGTTAAAACACACAGGGAGTCAGAGTCTCTCTGGTTCCACGTAGCCTTACTGTGTGGGATCTCGGCTGAATGACGGTCTACTTTCCGCCTTTCTAAAGACAATAATAACTATTTTCATTTACATACTTATAAGGCAATGGTCCCCTCCCCTGCATATTTAGCACAGCGCTGGGGATGCAGCAGGCTCTCCATAGGCGGCTGGGAGATCAGATGATTTCCTCAAGAGATGTTCTAAAATTAAACCAATATTGTGCCTTAATATCCCATGCGATTGTCAGAATTAAGTCCTGGGGGCTTGTTCTCAGTCTCAGGTTTTTGTTTTTGATTGTGTGTCCTTGGGCAAATTAAAAATCTCCCCAGGTCTCAGTTTCCTCATCTGTAGGGTCGACTAGATGGTCTTTCGATTCTTTCTGGCGTTAAAGTTCTGATTCTACGAAACTAGCTTCTGGCTACCCAAAGCTTGAACTACATAAACCTTATTTTACAATTCAATCCAGTTCAACCATAAATATTCAAATAAATATTTATTAAGTACACACTATGTGCGAGTCACCACACTAGGTGCTGGAGGTCTATGAGTCTGAGACTATGAAAGCCTGCCCTTGACGTCAGGAACAGACCCGCAGAAAGGGTGGAAGTAAATACCAGAAAGTTCCAGAACTCTTGAGGGAAGCCCTCCTTCTTGGGATGGTGATGTTTTAGAACTAGGGAAGCAGTGGTGTGTTGAAAGAAGGAAAGAGGGATGGAGGCTCAAAGGGTAGTGAATTCACATTATCACCAGAGATGGGGGAGAGCTTCATGGAGGAGGGAAACTCAGAGAGTGGTCGGGAAAGAGCACGTGTCTCTTGAGCGGGATTGCAGGGTTATGTATAGAAAAACAGAAAGGTCAGATAGAAACGGTGAGCGTAGGCCATTTGCAGAGCGCCTTGAATGCAGAGCTGAATTGACGCTAAACATTTCTGAGCAAGGACGCGAGAGGACGTTATGTGGCAGATAAATCAGAAAACAGAGAGGAGGGGTGGAGGCAGCAGCCACTCAGGAGGTAAGGCCTTGCGGATGGCTGGCGGTAGCAGAGCCATCTCACCTTCACCCGCAGCTACCAGAATGTGTCGTGAAAAATGACCACTGGTGAATCTGTGTGGGTGTGGGCAGTCTTTGGTACCCAGACTTGGTGCTTCTGAAGCTGCTTGCCTGTTTTGCTAGGGTCTCCCCTGAAAGTAGCTTTCCAAGCCTGCACTTGATGCAGCCCACGGTGGTGGAATTTGGCTTTCCTCCTGGCTGATCTCCTGTTGCTATATTTTTGGGCTGTTCCGCAGTGGTTTGGTTCATGTCTGGATGGAATAGCTCTGAAGGGAGTGGCTGTGGCTGGTTCTTTCTTTTCCCCGTAAGGATACATCACATCATAAGGCGGCGTCGGAAACGGCAGGACCAGGGTCCCTCTGGCTTTGATGGTTGACTTAATTGCTTTTAAAATTTTTTGGCTGGCTGAGATGGCAAAACAAATGAGGCTGAAATCTTTATTTTTAGCTCTTCATCTTAATCACGCTAATTAAGTGATCATTGTTATTATATCAGGAAGATGATGCTCTGAGGCATCCCATCTCTTGTTTTCTTTCCTTCTTTTCAACCTGCCTGCTCATCTTTTTGGATTGTTTGTTTAAGCAACTCCTAGTGTTTGCTATGCCTCCTTGAAGTGGCAGCCCCGGAAAAATTTCACACCGCGAGGGCGGAGGGCAACAGCCCTGGATAAAGGGGCTGAGGACTTGCATTGTGTCTCACTGGATATCTCTCTGGGAGTGGCCTCTGCTGGGACACTGAGTGGGGGGATCTGGAGGCTGCCGACCCCTGATCACTCCTGCAAAGACCCCTCCCTCCCAACTGTATCTGTGTAACTGACCCCCTCCTCCTTCCAATTTTGTTTTAGACCATTCAGCCACTGAAAGGCCTTTTCTCATTTTACTGCTTTCTTCCTCGAGATTTTTGCTCTCTCATTCGTCTTTGGCAAAGTTTCTGTGCATGTGTTTGTGTTTTTATTAGAAGGTTTCTATTGGAAACTTTCTTTTCTGTACCTTATTTTTTCCCAGTTGTATCTTCATTTACACAATCCTGCCCTTTTGCAGACTAAACAATGGCTCATTCATTCTCCAGTTTTAGATGTTTGGATCTCTTGACGCACATGTCAAAACAGATGTTTTCATGCAAGTGTGACTGTCAAAGGTAATTCAGCTTTGTCGGCAACCGTTATTTTAATGAAATTTGGATTTTTTTTGGCTCTCTTTCCCACTTGTGGCCTTTTACTCATTTGAAAATATCATATTCACTATATGGCAGAATTCTATGTTATCCCCCTGTGGTTGGTATCTTTGCCTCTAAGGCCAACTTTCTAACTTTTCTGTATGTTTGAATGTGATGCTTCTACAGTGGGAGGGAAAAGGCTCAGTTTCCGGTAGTTACATTCTTCTAAACAGTTGCCCTAGGAATGATAAACCCAACATTTTCAGTAGAGTTAACATATTGCTTTATCTGGTGGACAACTAAAACACAGACGCACACACACCACAATGCAAACCTTATGCTCAACAAAGAAGAAATTACGATGCACAAGGGAGGGAAAAAAAACCCAAGCAAAGATAAAAGGCAGACCAAAAACCTCCTCAAAGTAGGGCATTTGTTTAAAGTTGCTGAATTACACATTTTGGGCCCTAAAAATGTTTGTGAAAAGTGCTCTGAAATTATTAGACCACAATATTCCTTTTGAGTCTGAAAAACATTTTGAGATTCTGTGGCATGGAGCATGGAGGCTGGGTGACAAGAAAGCGACAGAGAGCTGAGGCTGTGTCCCTGTTTTGGTGGAAGCAAGGGGGTGACAGAGCTAACAAGATGGGAGGTTTGGTCAGCGAAAGGAGACGTCGGCCATTTCATGCTTCAAAGGAATTCCAAGGTTCTGCATGTGACCATGGGGAGTGTGGAAGTAGAGTGGAAGATTGCTGGAGCTCAGGTGGGCAGGGACCCATGAGGTGGGCAGGCTACCAGGTGGTCTCCATGGGTGTCAATGTCACCCAGCAAGCTAGCAGCTCGGGATGGAGAGCAGAGCCGTGAACCAGAAGACTGTGCCTCTTCTCATGACCCTCTATACCAAAATGGCAACCCAGCATCCATGCATCACTCATTCAAAAGTTAATGGGACTTAAGTACCAATCATAGTCTAAACCCTTTTACTGGGGTTACAAAAATACATCCGACATGGATCTGGAACCTGGGAAGCTTACTGCCCGCTTGGGGTCGGCGGGAATGTGCCAGTTATGAACTGAGGGGCTCATAGCTCACCTAAAGAAGGCAGCCATAATTCTGTGTTAGCAAATCTGATGTTTTTTTCAAGTCAGAAATGCAGACTTACAGGATAACGATTTCCCAACTCTAAAATTTTAGCAAACAATCAAAACATTAAGAGCACAGTACGGGCCAATGATTTGTGGCCTCTGATTTAAATAATTGGAGCTACAGGCAACCTTGTGTTCTTCTGGTTCTGCCCCTAACTTGCTAGTGATCTTAAACAAAACACTTAACTTCTCTGGACCCCTGTGACCTCATCTATAATGGAGCAGTAAGTGTACAGGACTTGCTCTGGAATCTTTCCCAGGTTTATGATTCTATGATTTCAATGTCTAAATAGACTTCTGATTAATTTCTGTCTGCAAAGAAGGGTGGGAAGCAGAGGGACCATACCTTTTACGCTCCTTCTTCTGAAGTGTGTGTTGTCAACAGAGGGCTGCCACTCTGGGGGAATTCATTATGGCGACCAACGTTGACTAACTGGATCCTAAGACAGGGCCAGATTTGGGGGCTGCCATGATGACCTTTTGCTTCCTTTACTCTACCCCATGTTGTGGTTGATGAGGGAGACATGGCGCTGTAATGGGATTGTTTAGACAGACGTCTGCTAGAATCTCAGATCTTTTTCTTAATGATCTCTGTGATTGGAAAAGTCATTTTCCCTGAGTCCCAGTTGTCACCAGCTGTAGAGCTAGAAAAGAGAATGAGAGAATGTCCTCCCAACAAGAACTCGTACGCTTCCCTCTGCCCCAGGAAAACATGGTATTTCTTGTATGTATGTCTATTTATTTGTTTTTCTGTTTTGCCTTGAAGTCTACAAAGTTTAGCAGAAACCAAAATACCTGGACCAAATTAAGTTAATTCTCTAAAGAACTGCTTTGACTAAATTATAATTTAATGCCACAGCCTCAGATCTTTTTTTTTTCCCCCTTCAAAATTGCTGTTAAAGGTATTTAAAAAGGTGGCTCGGTATTTCCTGTGTGGCAGGGTAAAGGGAGAGCTCCTGTGAAGTGGGCTGGAGGGGTTACTATGTGTCACCATTTGGGTCCTCGCTGAGCTTTTGCTTTGCTGAGCAAGGTATACGCGGAAAGGCATGAGCTGAATTGCTGGGACCAATAAAGATGATTTTTTAGAGGCTGTGGGTGAGGCGTAGGGGAATGGAGGGAGGGGAGGAAAAGAAAACGTAGCCGAAGGGTGGCCAGAGAAGAGGCCTTGGGACAGACAAGGGCAGAGAGAGCTAGCACAAAGTTGGATGAGACTTTGCCGTGTGCTAGGTGACAGAATCCTTTCCTTCATCCGCTCGTGAAATCTTCAGGAATATCGACACCACTTACTGATGATTTTTGCTACTTTTTTGATGTGGTGAGTCAACTTCAAGGTGTGTGGGGTAAGCAGAGGCCACCTAAACAGTCCAGCCACCTAAACAGTCCAGCCACCCGTGGGTTACACTGATGAAAGTTTCCCCATAATATTTTC